GTATTGAGGTTTCGAGAAAGTCACCGCGATAATATAAAAACATCGATACACGAACCGAGTTTCTTGCCGGCTCGGTCGTTTTAACGGTTGCGATGTTTAGATTCCGCGATCGGAAAAAGTTCGAATAGGGCAGAGCGCCACGGAGTACGAAGACACGCGCGTGACGTGTCACCTGAGCGCGAGCGAGACAGAGATACCTTGTGATTCCCACCTCGCGATGACCGAGGTAACGGCCGATTTCGGCAAGACGATCATTTCTTTGTGAGATTTCCGTGATCGAGGAGTTCGTCACGAGTGATTTCGTCTCGAGGTTTCCGCGATTTTAAGTGTTCCGCGTATTGACTGTGTCCGTGACAGAGGATTGCTCCCTCAATCATTCCTGTATTGGATATTCCGTGAGTAACGTTCCGCGCTGATTTCTTCCGCATCGCGAACTCCCGAGTTGAGGGTTATCGTGCCGAATAATTATCAGTGATCAATTGTATAATCTACATACTGGACATTGAAATTGAAAAAATTTATATGGATTCGGCGTTTAAAACGTGAAAGTTGAATGTGCAAATTTTTATGTTGGTTTTTTATATTTAGGATGTAATACACATGCATACATATATGGAATATATTGTACAAACTAGTGCATGTAAAACATTTTTGTAAATGTATTAAGAAGCCATAATTTGTTCTAATCTTAGAATTTATATAATGTAAGACCAAGTACGATGCGTCGCTGACGAGTAGAGTTCTGGAAGGTATGCCATTTGATCGAGGAGAAGTAGAATAAAATAGAAACAAGACAATTGGTGCGTGGAACCTAAACACTGATGTTGGCACAGTCTCGCACGTGCGGTTTGTATATTGAAATCAGATAATGGGTTGTTATCTGACCATGTAAATTTTGAGCGAGTGTCGAAGGTAGCGTGCGAGGAACTCCTCTTCCCTCTGTGCCGTCCCGTAACTCTTCTTATGAGCGACCGACTGTAAACGTGTAATACATATGTACTCTCGATTACCGAACTATAGACTGCTGCGATTAAATTCGGTTTTATAAAACTTTTACACCGATTCAAAAGCATGGATATCGATAGATGTGTTCTTTTCCATTTAAAACGAAGGAGAAATCACGGCGTATCCGCAGATACACTGGAGAACGTATACCAATTCGTAAACGGGGCTTTTCTGGACATCCAAGAGACCGCTATAAGTTGGATAAATCAACAACTTGATTGTACGATTATTCTCGTCAACGTATGACCCGACACTGTACTGCTGGATCGTGTGATAGATTATACCGCCGGCGTACATGAACACCACGCTGGATACGGACAGATTTCGGCCGATTTTTCCGTATCTCAGCATCAGGTCACGATCTTCACGTAATTCTACCTATCGGAATGGTACTGAAATTTTCTTAACGACACTCTTAAACAACAAAAGCGTTTCTCGACTGACCTGCTTCCAATCAGTTCGCAATTGTTCGATGCAACGCTTAATCTTATTTTTACGCAGCGTGAGAGCCCAATACTTCAGCATNGTGTAGAATCAGTACGAATTGTTTTCAATGCAGTCTAAATTGCGGATTTTCATACTTCGATAATTTCATAATTGAGGATTTCAAATAATTATAAGTTTAGTCTTTGCATGAAATAAAAATCATGGCATTAGTTCTCTGTCTACCTAGAAATTTGTGTGGAAGAGCTAAATGAGCACTAAATATGTAAGAAGGGATTCTGGGTTAGAAAGCGATAGAGGTTGCCCGAGCTGGCAAGCAATTACGTGCATGCATGTATGTATATGGTAATGCACGGTATGGGAGAGTGTCGAAAATCGTGCGACCGCGCATCACCATAAAAGTAACCGGGGACGGGAAGGATACGGGATAGGAGAGAGACGAAGTATGTACGAACATGAACGAAGCAGCGTGTGGGCATATTGCTCTTTCGGCGTGGGTTTCGAAATACGCCGGGCATATTCGACCGGTCATTGTCCATCGATCGACTCTGCTCCTGCTTTAACCCGCGATTACTTCTTTTGTAGACCCTCAATTATTTTTAAGAATGAGAAAAGTCTGACAAGTAGATCGAGGAATATAACGGATTTTACATAGGAATTATTTGGAGCTTTTTAAATATGTAATAAGTATCTTTCGAATCATACAGATGAAACAGTTAATTAGACTTTGAAAAAGATGTATGCGTGTCTCTGCGCTAAGTCGCGTCCGGGTTTATCGCCCACTTACCGTTCTCGCAGCTGCAGGTGTGTTATGGCAATAACGCGATTCCAAACGCGACGTACTCGAGGCTTTGCCTCTACAGAGTGTCTGTTTTAATCGCGAACGCTGAAATGTTTAATATTCAGAATCCCCTGCATTTTTTCCAGCGACGATTATATTAAACATTGTATCAATGATTAGATTAAATTTTGTTTCAAGTATTGTATCAATCATTACACGAAACGATGCATCAATTATTATACGAACCAAACGAAATATTGCATCAAATACGATACGAATTAATTTTATGACCGGCACATGACGCAAATGAGTTAACAGTGCGAACTCTGCGATTTGCACTATTTCATTGAGCGTTGAGAGAGTCGAAAAACTTGAGGATCACCGCGTGTAGAATCGGCCCACGGGGCACCTACGTGTCCGCGTGTCTGCCTACTCGGTCCACCGATCCTTCACCGGTATTCGCCGCGAAAACTATACATACGTCCGAGCCTCTCGGCCCTGACGACGCGCAATGCTCAGGTACTCGGTTTTCTCTCGACTTCCGGTCGCAGAAAGGAATGCATAGGCGGAGCCATACCCACGCAGCGAGACACGCGCGGGCCTCGATCGAGGATGGTAAAAACACTCGACGACAGTCGTGCAAACCGCGGAACCAGTCAAAAATTTACTTAAATATTCGGCATTGCATTTGTGCAATGAAATAAATATCAGTTGAAGTGTTAATAGAACATTTCATGAACTGCAGATGCCACGAGGAAAATTAGAAATAAATTAAGATTTTATTATTGTATTTCATAACGTACAGTGCTTCTCGTTTAGAATCATCGAAAGGTAACAATGGAAACAGTTTCGTATAACTTTGTATTCTTCTTTGGTTACAGTTCCTGGATTTGGGCGTGGTAACGAGCATAGAATACAATCACAAGCCCGTCGAATCTGCGAGAAAAGGTCAGGAAGTCTGCGTGAAAATTGAGCCGGTACCCGGTGAGGCGCCTAAAATGTTCGGCCGTCACTTCGACCACGACGATCCCATCGTCAGCAAAGTGAGTCCCTCTCTCTTATTAAGTTCAATGGCTTTGGTAGAAAGTAAAGAATAGAGTAAATGCTCGTCTAAAATAGTTTTCAAAGAGCAGCTGTTACGAGAAAATGCAATCAGCAGCTGGCCTGTTGATAAGATATTTCTTCATAAGTCTTTTAGTTACTGTTTACAAAGAAATTCTAACAAATGTTTTATCAGAGACTGTCGTACTTCATTCACGCTCTTATAACAT